TTTCCCTCCTTCATTATTAATCAAACCTACCTTTCCCCACCTCCTAGACATCCCTACCCCCATCCCTTCATAATACCCACCCTTTTTCACCCCCTACCTTTAACGCAATCCCTATCACTTTATCTCTTTTCACACACCTTGACTTTTCTGCGATGGATTCAAGGTGATCATGGCAACTGCTGTCTTCCTCCCGCTTTCACGTAGAGTACTTCCGACTGTACTTCTCGACTCCACTTTTACTCTCGGCGAAGTCACACGCGATGCTATTTTTAGTACTCGAGGAGATTAGTTTCCGGGTGTTCGTTGCGTGGTCGGATTTTGCTTGTGTTCATACAGCATCTGAACGTATTAGTAGTATCTGTAACATATTAAAATAAAACTAGAATGCCATATCAGTATGTGAAAGAATGGCTTAGATATTTTATATTTTCTAGTGTAATATACCTGTATGCTCATACAGTATCAAATGCATATGTATTATCATTGACATGAAAATAACATACAATGTATTTAGCAGTAGGGTGAGGTTTTTATATCGTTATGTAACCCATATTTCTGAGAATGTGCAAACGGTACGAGAATGTAATTAATGAGGTATATTATTGCTATGCGCTATTCTACTTACACAGTATATTACAGTGTATAAATACATATCCGAATATATGTGCATGTGTGTGTGTGCGCGTGCGTGCGTGTATGTATACACATACATACACAGGTGGTCCTTACAGACAGAGATCTCCTATGCATATACATGCATGGGATGGGTGTGTTTATTTTTGCAAATATGATCCATATCGCTACCAGAATAGATAAACTAATACGTTAGTATCGTATTTAGACGGTATTCGATTTTATTATAGACCTGTTATACTTTGCCAAATGAATAAAGATGTAAAAAAACGGTGAAGAAATTATGACAATTATCATTGTTGTTGTTTTACTTGGTAAAAACCGTCTGTGATTATAGTAACATCTATAATATTAAGTTTATTTGTTTGTTTTGTTTTGAGTGATTAAAATCTATTTATGGTGCTAGAAAGAAAGCAAGGTAACCTCGGGGATATTAATAGCAGTGTTGAAGATTTCAACCGCGGTGATTCAGTAGATATTATGACATCCAATTCGCTCACGCAATTGCTGTTCATGGTAAACAATGAAGTGGGTTGCCAGCAAATGATTATTTCCTCCCTTGATTCGAAAACTGTATTGCAAAATAGGACATATACTATTTAATCTTGTACACACCATTCTCCTTATGATGTGCATCGCTTCATAAGAATGGCCATAGCCTCTAAAAATAAAATCACTAGAAAACGCATCACTGAATATCGTTTTCAGCATCAATCGTGTGTCAAGAACATAATCGATAAGCCATAAACAATTTCATATATGATAAGTGACTGCTTGGTCGATGTGAACTATCAGTCATACCAAACCTTTTGCGTAGCCAGGAACCAGTGGTAGTTTTTTTTATTAGATAAGGAAGCGTTACATGCAACTGAGAAATCGTTGCATAGAAATAAGTCTGAGATTCTGAGATGTCTTCAGACTTGAACAACAGCGTGTCATTTTTTCACTTATCGTTAACGATGATATGGCAACGAGGAAGACTATGGACTTCATGACCGCTACCAAGAAGGGTAATTTTTGATCAGCTTCATGCATTTGCAGATGTTCTTGGGAACTGGCGATGAGACGCATCTTGCAATATCTCCTAATACATTTCATTTGATATTTCCAAAAAGTAGGAAAAAACTAATCAGTTAACTTATTCGAGATATCGTTATTTAAATATCAGAAAAAAATATATAAATCTGCAATTATAATGCAGAATTTTGTTAAACCTCTAATGAATTGCTGTCAATAATATGTTTAGCAATATCACTGCCATTACTATATACTCTAAGGTTGGTCTCCATAAAGTGTACATCATTATCTTCATTACTACTACTACTTATAGTAGTAGTACAACTATTATTATTATTATCATTACTAGTATTATGACTATTAATAATAATAATAATATCATTATAATTGTCATTATCATTATTATTATCATTACACCTGAATAATCATTATCTAGCAATTAAATCCTAAATAAATATAAAACTACAGTTCCTGCAAAATACTATCCCATGACACCATGACCTCTGCTGATAAATTTATTATATACTAAGACGTTCAAATTAACAAAACATACTCCTAAACAAGGATCAAAGACCATACCTTTCGTAAATCTGATACTTCACAGCTGTAGTATCACAGTTTCTTATCAAAAATGAATGACACTGGACAGCGCTTTCCAACACTTCCATGAGCCGCCCAAACAAAACAAACCGATAAAGGGGATACTTCATATAACACACTGCTTTACATAAATCATCCTTGAGTACAGAAAACATATCATATTTCACACAATTAACTAATATCATAATACATTTTAACACATTGTACCTATTGAAATAGCAGTTTCACTTGTTATTACTGTTATCTTTAATATTTATTATTATTATCATTGATATTATGATTATTATCATCACCTGCCTATTTTGGCGCACAACACATCATTTCATTTATTGGAACATAAATGAGGTATATTTAGCGATTTGATGCGAAATATACTTATGCTGTGAATATGCATTTGTATTTTGTTAAATAGATTGTTACATATCTGTGTATTATTATGATGGATGCATAAACCTGCCATTACTATCAAATAATGTTCATCAATCATGAAATAAGCTGAGGAAGTGGTTATGATATCGTTATTTGTTATTTTGTTATAAGTGATCACTAGTTTGTTGCACTGATCAAATTATAAAAAACTTAAGCTGTCCTTGTTTTATACAAAATGTTTTAAAACCTAATAATGATTAAGTTTTTGAGCTACTTTGTTGGAAATCAATTGTGTGACAAGATACTGGTTTTAACGTGAATCCTATGTATGTGTGTAACTCGGGCAATTTAAGGATGGTTTATAGTAATATTTGCGGATATTGAAAATCTGCATATTTTATCGATTTCCAGAATTCCCTCCACCCTAGACATAAGTTCTTCGGTGAAAAAAAAGAATAATACTTTAAATAAAAGAAGACTGCTTCATGAGGTATGTTTAGGTTAGTCTACCTTCAATCGTCTACGATTGAAAATGTTAGCTTCATCACATGTTTCTCACAGTTATTATATGGATACGTAAAGAATTGACAGAGTATTATTGGTAGTTCGTAGAAACTGTGAACAAAAGTCTTATTTGCTATAGAGGAATTAAATGCTTCTTTCAAAATAAAAATATTTGTTGTTGTACTCTACACGCAACATATGACACAAACGTTATGAAATAACTAGAGCACAAAATAACATTACGGTAAAAGAAGAAGAAAAAAAATGTTAGAAAGATGAAACTGCAATTTCGAAATCAAAATAGACATCTTCATCGAGTTAGTCATCGTGTCAACAAGGAACTGGAGACACTGAATTCACATTTTGCTGTCGGTCCTCCCATAACATTTATGAAATAAATACTGTAATAATCCTTAGTAAGAATGAATATTTAAATAATGGTTATCATTATAATTATAGCTGCAAGCATATACTTGACGTGAGGTAATATAGGTTACACGCTGAGGTGCACAATGTAAGAAATTTGCTTGATTGCAATAAAATAGATATTTGAATATAAAATGCTTAGATTACCATGTGGCTACAGCGTGTATTAGTAAAATGGCTGAAATATTTTCTTATTTAAACTTCGTCCAATTTCAGGAAAGAAGAAGAATGGAAACTCATCCCGAAATTTAGAGCACTCTGATTCACTATTTTATTTCTTTATTACTTATATTTGTTATTTTATGAGCTTCAATACACTTTTATCATTTTTTAATTATGGCCATCAACAACACTTTAATAATAATAAAGAAGTTGCTGATCGGAGTATTCCAGAGTATGGGTCGGTTGCCATATTTTTCTTTCATGAGACTAAGCGCACTATAGTTCATATCTCTTAATGAACGCAAAGGTCACCCCGGTCTGACATATCCTGGTGATGGAAAGAGATTCACGGTATTCCAATATTCATACGTGTTTAGCTTATTTCATATGATATTCTCTACATTATGATCTATATGAAGATTTGTTGCCAGGTTTTTAAGAACATTAAACTCATGAGATGAAGGAGACCAAATAACTGAATAACTGGAGTCAAGGGAATCAGAAACACGGTTGATGGACACACGTATACATGTATATTTATATTCATGTGTGCACATGTGCGTAAGTATTTGAGAGCGATGGCACTGACTGAGCAATACCACAGCTATTTGGCTGTTTGATAGTTAGCAATCTTTGCTTACGTGAGATGTTTTGTTGTAATAGCATTAGTATATATATGCATTTATGTTTCGATGCTAACTCTTTTGCCATGCACTTTATCAGTTATCTAAAATGATCATCAAACATAAGTAGAATGGTAGATCTGTGCCATCCTTCATTCCCAGAGAAACGTAATATTGCATGATATATTGTATTTAATTGTTCATCGTACAAAATACACACCTCGATAGTTCATGCTCTAGGCGTTCATAAACATATGATATGTAGTATTATATTAGTATGAAAATCTGTTTATTCTTGCATTCAATAACCTTGATGGAGCATAGTACGTATAATTGCCCTGGGCAAAGATATCCTAATATTTCGTTTATTCCCATAGATATCAACTCTCCAATACTTAGTCTACCACTTCTAAGAGACTCGTGTAGATAATTAAGTTACTAGAACGTTTTTTGCTTTTTATCGTTATTATCATTACAAATTATTCAGATCTGGGTAAATCCTATATTTTCAGATACTCCAGTCTGCTTTTTTGGTATTCATTGAAAGGCTGTGACATAACTTAAGGCCCTTTTTGTAGCATTTCAAGTTACATTACGGTCGCTACAAAACACGGTATCATCGAAGTTAGTACTGATATACAAAGTTTTGTAAAAAGGATTTTTTTTCAAACATCGTAGAAGCTTCAAATAAAATGGAAGTACCTGGAACCTGTATTGTTTATACACATCACTCTTCGCTTAGTAAGGCTGTGGAAAGTTAAATGTATTTCTCAGATTCAGTAAAAAAAATAATAATAATAATCTCATTGTTCTTCATACGAAAAGATGAAGTTGCCTAATGCTTTGCATCTTATCGTATCCACCACGAATGAGTTCCGTGTCTACAGCCTAGGCTCTTCTCACAGTGCCTAAACAATCGTGTGAGAAAGTCTCAAACTAGTTTGAACTCAATTGTGTTACTTTCAACTCACCCCCCCCCCCCCCGCCACTGCATCAAGGCAGTAGTACCTTTAAGGGATGGTAAGCATTATAGGCATCTGACCAGCTAACCTAATAGTAACTGAATATTTGTCTCTCTCATTTATATATATATATGTATATACATATATATATAGTTATTTGTTGTGGTACATGTCATAAAAAAGACTTTATTTTCTATAATTTATGTATTTATTATTACATTTGTTAAAAATGTTGGTGTACTCACTGACTGGATGTCCAATCTTTTTGTGGGAATACAACTTGTAACAAAGGCATTATCTTCCTCCATAACCACCGCTGGATCCTCCGCTTCCTCCGGCCCCAAAGCCTCCAGCGGAACCACCATTGCCTCCGGCCCCAAAGCCTCCAGCGGAACTGCCACTTCCTCCGAAACCTCCACTGCTACCAGCTCCAGCGCCACCGTGTCCACCAGCTCCAAAACCACCGCTACCTCCATTGCCACCGTCGTAACCTCCGTTGCCCCCGGCTCCGCCACCGAAACCTCCGGCGCCTCCGGCTCCGCCACCGAAACCTCCGGCGCCTCCGGCTCCGCCACCGAAACCTCCGGCGCCTCCGGCTCCACCACCGAAACCTCCGTTGCCTCCGGCCCCGCCACCGAAGCCTCCAGCTCCGCCACCGAAACCTCCAGCGCCTCCACCGAAGCCTCCAGCTCCGCCACCGAAGCCTCCATGCCTGCGCCACCAGCGCCGCTACCGCCGAATCCTCCAGCGCCATTTCCGCCGAAACCGCCAGCGCCGCTACCGCCGAATCCTCCAGCGCCATTTCCGCCGAAACCGCCAGCACCTCCAGCGCCGTTTCCGCCATCATATCCGCCTGCGCCACCAGCGCCGCTACCGCCGAATCCTCCAGCGCCATTTCCGCCGAAACCGCCAGCACCTCCAGCGCCGTTTCCGCCATCATATCCGCCTGCGCCACCAGCGCCGCTACCGCCGAATCCTCCAGCGCCATTTCCGCCGAAACCGCCAGCACCTCCAGCGCCGTTTCCGCCATCATATCCGCCTGCGCCACCAGCGCCGCTACCGCCGAATCCTCCAGCGCCATTTCCGCCGAAACCGCCAGCACCTCCAGCGCCGTTTCCGCCATCATATCCGCCTGCGCCACCAGCGCCGCTACCGCCGAATCCTCCAGCGCCATTTCCGCCGAAACCGCCAGCGCCGCTACCGCCGAATCCTCCAGCGCCATTTCCGCCGAAACCGCCAGCACCTCCAGCGCCGTTTCCGCCATCATATCCGCCTGCGCCACCAGCGCCGCTACCGCCGAATCCTCCAGCGCCATTTCCGCCGAAACCGCCAGCACCTCCAGCGCCGTTTCCGCCATCATATCCGCCTGCGCCACCAGCGCCGCTACCGCCGAATCCTCCAGCGCCATTTCCGCCGAAACCGCCAGCGCCGCTACCGCCGAATCCTCCAGCGCCATTTCCGCCGAAACCGCCAGCGCCGCTACCGCCGAATCCTCCAGCGCCATTTCCGCCGAAACCGCCAGCACCTCCAGCGCCGTTTCCGCCATCATATCCGCCTGCGCCACCAGCGCCGCTACCGCCGAATCCTCCAGCGCCATTTCCGCCGAAACCGCCAGCGCCGCTACCGCCGAATCCTCCAGCGCCATTTCCGCCGAAACCGCCAGCACCTCCAGCGCCGTTTCCGCCATCATATCCGCCTGCGCCACCAGCGCCGCTACCGCCGAATCCTCCAGCGCCATTTCCGCCGAAACCGCCAGCACCTCCAGCGCCGTTTCCGCCATCATATCCGCCTGCGCCACCAGCGCCGCTACCGCCGAATCCGCCAGCGCCGCCAGCGCCGCTACCGCCGAATCCTCCAGCGCCATTTCCGCCGAAACCGCCAGCGCCGCTACCGCCGAATCCTCCAGCGCCATTTCCGCCGAAACCGCCAGCACCTCCAGCGCCGTTTCCGCCATCATATCCGCCTGCGCCACCAGCGCCGCTACCGCCGAATCCGCCAGCGCCGCCAGCGCCGCTACCGCCGAATCCTCCAGCGCCATTTCCGCCGAAACCGCCAGCGCCGCCAGCGCCGCTACCGCCGAATCCTCCAGCGCCATTTCCGCCGAAACCGCCAGCGCCGCTACCGCCGAATCCTCCAGCGCCATTTCCGCCGAAACCGCCAGCACCTCCAGCGCCGTTTCCGCCATCATATCCGCCTGCGCCACCAGCGCCGCTACCGCCGAATCCTCCAGCGCCATTTCCGCCGAAACCGCCAGCGCCGCTACCGCCGAATCCTCCAGCGCCATTTCCGCCGAAACCGCCAGCGCCGCTACCGCCGAATCCTCCAGCGCCATTTCCGCCGAAACCGCCAGCGCCGCTACCGCCGAATCCTCCAGCGCCATTTCCGCCGAAACCGCCAGCGCCGCTACCGCCGAATCCGCCAGCGCCGCCAGCGCCGCTACCGCCGAATCCTCCAGCGCCATTTCCGCCGAAACCGCCAGCGCCGCTACCGCCGAATCCTCCAGCGCCATTTCCGCCGAAACCGCCAGCGCCGCTACCGCCGAATCCTCCAGCGCCATTTCCGCCGAAACCGCCAGCGCCGCTACCGCCGAATCCTCCAGCGCCATTTCCGCCGAAACCGCCAGCGCCGCCAGCGCCGCTACCGCCGAATCCTCCAGCGCCATTTCCGCCGAAACCGCCAGCGCCGCTACCGCCGAATCCTCCAGCGCCATTTCCGCCGAAACCGCCAGCGCCGCCAGCGCCGCTACCGCCGAATCCGCCAGCGCCGCCAGCGCCGCTACCGCCGAATCCTCCAGCGCCATTTCCGCCGAAACCGCCAGCGCCGCTACCGCCGAATCCTCCAGCGCCATTTCCGCCGAAACCGCCAGCGCCGCCAGCGCCGCTACCGCCGAATCCGCCAGCGCCGCCAGCGCCGCTACCGCCGAATCCTCCAGCGCCATTTCCGCCGAAACCGCCAGCGCCGCTACCGCCGAATCCGCCAGCGCCGCCAGCGCCGCTACCGCCGAATCCTCCAGCGCCATTTCCGCCGAAACCGCCAGCGCCGCTACCGCCGAATCCTCCAGCGCCATTTCCGCCGAAACCGCCAGCGCCGCCAGCGCCGCTACCGCCGAATCCTCCAGCGCCATTTCCGCCGAAACCGCCAGCACCTCCAGCGCCGTTTCCGCCATCATATCCGCCTGCGCCACCAGCGCCGCTACCGCCGAATCCTCCAGCGCCATTTCCGCCGAAACCGCCAGCGCCGCTACCGCCGAATCCTCCAGCGCCATTTCCGCCGAAACCGCCAGCACCTCCAGCGCCGTTTCCGCCATCATATCCGCCTGCGCCACCAGCGCCGCTACCGCCGAATCCTCCAGCGCCATTTCCGCCGAAACCGCCAGCGCCACCAGCGCCGCTACCGCCGAATCCGCCAGCGCCGCCAGCGCCGCTACCGCCGAATCCTCCAGCGCCATTTCCGCCGAAACCGCCAGCACCTCCAGCGCCGTTTCCGCCATCATATCCGCCTGCGCCACCAGCGCCGCTACCGCCGAATCCGCCAGCATTGCTGCCGCCGAATCCTCCGGCGCCATTTCCGCCAAAACCGCCAGCGCCGCTACCGCCGAATCCTCCAGCGCCATTTCCGCCAAAACCGCCAGCGCCGCTACCGCCGAATCCTCCAGCGCCATTTCCGCCGAAACCGCCAGCACCTCCAGCGCCGCTACCGCCGAATCCACCGGCGCCGCCAGCACCGTTTCCGCTGTCATATCCGCCCGAACCTCCAGCACCGCTGCCGCCGAATCCGCCGGCACCGCCAGCACCGCTGCCGCCGAATCCGCCGGCACCGCCAGCACCGCTGCCGCCGAATCCGCCGGCACCGCCAGCACCGCTGCCGCCGAATCCGCCAGCACCACCAGCACCGCTGCCTCCGAATCCACTAGCGCCACCAGCCCCGTTTCCGCCGTCATATCCGCCAGCACCACCAGCGCCGCTACCGCCGAATCCTCCAGCACCGCCGGCACCGCTACCGCCGAATCCTCCAGCACCGCCGGCACCGCCATGTCCACCAGCACCGCTACCGCCGAATCCTCCAGCACCGCCGGCACCGCCATGTCCACCAGCACCGCTACCGCCGAATCCTCCAGCACCGCCGGCACCGCCATGTCCACCAGCACCGCTTCCTCCGTCATATCCACCGCTACCGCCAGCACCGCCGGCGCCGCTACCGCCAAATCCGCCAGCACCACCAGCGCTGCCACCGCCGAATCCACCGGCGCCGCCGTTACCACCGCCAAATCCACCCGCGCCGCCACCTCCGCCACCGCCTCCATGGCCTCCGTGGCCTCCACTTCCTCCACTTCCTCCACTTCCGCCCCCATATCCTCCGGAGGGAGGATGGTCAGCTGTTGCTGCGTACATGACAGCCATAATGGCAGCCATCATTACCTGTTCAGCAAAAGGGACATAAGTACATCATTGAAATTCATTCTTTTTTCTTGCTACAGTATATATAAACACACATGCACACATATCTTAGAATTAACCGTAACATTACACAATGAACTATTATGAAAGCAAAAAACTACCGGGTCCGTAAAAAAAAAGACAAAAAGAAAGAAAGAAAAAAAGAAAAAAAACAAAAAAAACACGGACGAAGTTTTCTCACCAAAGGTCGGCGGAGGATCATGATGAGAGGAAGTTTGGGCTTTCACCGTTACCGAAGAATATGCCC